TTCTATAGCATGTTAGGAGAGTACATCGTTTATTAAATTTTGTTAAAAGTTACGTTTTTCACAATCTTGGCTACTTTTTTGAGAGAAATCAAGTCAAAACAGATTTTCGATATTTTCATTGCAGTCAAAAATTCAAAATTTTGGATATTTTAGCTTTAATAAACTAGAAAGTAGGTACATTCCTTTTAAATGGTAATCGGTCTAGTTAAAAATAAGACGATGTGGGGTTCCCAAAAATAAACAGTTTGTCATTTACATCAGAAAGTAAAAAGATTCTGTATCCCATCCACTATAGCCAGTTATACAGGGTGGCCCAATTAAAACAGTCCACCTGAAATATTTTCATTTCAACAGGTTTTTCCAGAAAACCCCGAAACAGGTCGATTTTTCAGTTTCATTATCCGGTGAGTTATTTTATTATTATGTCAAATCTTTTTTTCGATTTATTTAACCGACATTTCCAACAGTTATTTTACATTAATTTTTAGGCTGAACAAAAAAATTTCAGCATGTTTTTAAAGAGAATTGAAATACTCGTATCTTTAAAATGAAGTGTAATTTAACCCCCCGTGCTGTTTAAGGTTCTTGAAGGGGTTGTCACCCCGTTTAGGGGTATGATGTCACATCTATGATCAAAAGATGTCCCCCTTGAAAGCAAAATCGACTGTTTCGGGGTTTTCCGGAAAAATCTGTTGCATAGATAATATTTCAGGTGTACTGTTTTAATTGGGCCACCCTGAATATAGAAAGGCGTAACAATATTCTGTTTGGTAGTGCATTTGTTTTTAGTCATTGCCAGCTTCATCAATTTTTGTTAATTTAAAAAAAAATAATAGGCTACAAGTACCTTTGAAAAACATAGAATAACCTCTTTTTAACGAGGTGACGGTCAATTACAGTTTCCATTAAAAAAAATTAACGAATTTGATCTGTAAGTCGAAAATTATTAGAGTTATACATAAAAAGTGTACAGGATAATATATCAACAATTCAGAAAAATATTTGTTGTAGCTATTATAGTTATAAACCAAAACATCAAAATTCTGATTTTCTAAACTCTAAAATATACCTATATAGAAAATCGGTTTCTCGCAAACTTTTTCGATACATACATATAAATACAGAATGTTCACAAAAGAAAAGCTCTGAAAATGATGGAAAAGTAGACTTCTTAGTTTTAACAGCATGAAAAATATAAAAAAGTTGTTTAAAATAAAGATATGTCATAATTTCAATTTCTGCAAATCGGCCTACTTCAACTGTTTGCGCATTAAAAAAGAAGAATACCATTGGATAAAATAAAAATTCATTTTTATTGAACTGATAAAACAAAATGTTGTTACGCTATATATACTTTTGATTATATATTGAAGGCATAAATAAAGACTTTTTGTACAAATAAAAATAGTAGATTGAAATCGTTGGATGACAAAATTAAAACAACAAAATCAAAGGCTGTAATGATTTAATTTCCACAATTCAATTCATTTTAAACAATGATTTCTTTCTTTTTATTTTAAAACAATTGGTGTAGGCAGATTTATACACAAAAGTAAGAGCAGTATATTCTTTGCATCATGTTCAAAGTTTTAATGTCCTGAAGACTTATAAAGCTTATACATTCCATCAATCCAAATTTTTTCGTAAAGTGAATTCATTATAATATTAATCTTAAATTTTTGACCAATATATAATTACTATCGCATAATAATTTAGAACTATTAACTTTCTTGGTACGTATAGGAACTATAATAAATGCATTAATATCTCAAGAGTAAAGTTATATACAGGGTGCCTAGTAACGAATGTTACATACCTTAAGATTGCTTTGGATCAAAATGAACTGATTCCTTAAAAAGCGATCGGCTTTCGAGAAAAATATTTTTGTTTGTCTCTTGATGATCCATGATATCCATCTTATAAGTTAAATTTACTTTTTGGTTGTATCACTTCTTTCATTTGGACCAACTTTTATATAAGTATATAACACATATTTTTTATCTTCATTATTTCTTAATAATCATTTAAATATTTTTCAGAAAGTTTTTCAGTTAAGAAACATTTTCAACGCCTTTGTTAGCATATAAATAAACTTTTCTAACAAGAACTAAACTTAGGTGTTATAACTATTTTAGTTTTTTAGTTTTATTGTTATTCAATTTTAACTGAATTTATCTTCAATATTTTTATTTACAATACCTATTCATTATATTCCATTTTTCATCTGAAACTTTAGCTACTAATCCGTACAAGCACATCTACCATCATTAGATAAAAGATCTTCATAAATAGGTATACTGATTTAATTTTAAAGAGAAATAAAAAAAATATCAATCACTTAGAAGAGAAAAAAATTAAGGTCGTTACTCTGGTATTTTTTCCAGTGTTTGAATATGGAAATGGATAAAACCGCAGGCTCAAATCGATAAATTATTCATTCATACAGATATATGCACGACATACGTGAGAAAGAATTCCCAAGGACTATTTACTAATACAATGTTATGCACTTGTTACAACTACTTTCTTAATTAACATAAGGAAACGTATTTTGATTCCTGTGGAGGCGTGTCACATTTATACTACCACGAGAATGAAAAAACGTTAGAAAAGTGTATATTATTAAAGCAACAGTTAATTTCTTTTAGTAGGATATTCGGCTGATCCACAAGGAAATACATTGTAAAATACAAACTAAATAAGACATTTACATTTGGTTGAATTTATAATTTAGGTATCGATTGTTGGTAGTCAATGGTGAGAATCAAAGCCAAAACTCAAAGAAAACACAGTATTTTTTGCTTTATCGACGTTTCGTCACCTTTATTTATCTTCAGGACACTACAAATAGGTAATAATTTTTTTTTTAAATTACATATGTTTATGATTATTTCAAAGTTAATTTATAAATTCTAAAATTAATTTAAACATTGAGCCAAAATTCCTATCCTAAACTATCTATATTAGTGTCAGTATGAACAATATTTTTTGTTGTTTTTGTTTTATTGTTCATACATATACAGGGTGATTCATTTTTTAGGATTAGGACTTTAACCATCGATAGATCTGGTCAAAATAATGTCATTTTGAAGTAGTCTTGTAGTAGTGAAGTCTTGAAAAACCATTTTAGGTGTTTTTTTATTTTTTCTTAAACTATGAAAGTAATTTTGTTTTATATTTAGTATTAAATGTACAAATGAAAAGCTCTATCGATTTTACAAATTATTGTGAAAATCATAAGCGCCCGTAAGGGGCTCTGATAACCCCTATTTTTAATATAATTCTACGCCAATGGAAATTTTTTTAAATGAATAAGTTTTTTTACATTGCGGCATATTGTACAGCAAAAAGGTCTCTTAATATTTTTAAATGAAATACTTGATTTTAGAGAAAAATTGATTCATTACGTGTGAAATGGTTAAGTTTTTCAAACAAAGTAATATAGAATAAAATATTTAATCTAATTTAATAATTTCTCACATCGCCTAATTAAGCTTTGAACTGCTCTCCTAATCATATTGGGGTTGTGTTTAAGTGTTTCAGAATTATTTTCAATTCTTCTTATGTTTTCAAAAGTCTTTAACCTCTCTTTAATATATCCCCAAACGAAATAATTCATGGGATTTAGATCTGGCGATCGTGACGGCCAAGCAGTATGGGACTGGTACCATGTCCTGCATGATTCATTTTCAAAATCGTGGATCGCTCCCCGAGCCACTGCCTAACTTGAAGACCAATGAGCCGGAGCATCACCCATCTGATTTGTCCTTAGAAGTAATCGTAAGTCGTCGAGTAAAATGTTTAAATCGTCTCCTTTGTTTGAAAAACTTAACCATTTCACATGTAATGAATCCATAAGAAGCCATTTTTCTCAAAAACCAAGCATTTCATTTAAAGCCTTTTTGCTGTAGAATAAACCGCAATACAAAAAAAAATCATTAATTTTGAAAAATTTCCAGTGGCGTAGAAATTATACTTATTAAAAATAGGGGTTAGAAGAGCCCCTTACGGACGCCTATAATTGATCTATTTTCACAATAATTTGTAAAATCGATAGAGCTTTTCATTTGTACATTTAATACTAAATATAAAACAAAATTACTTTCATAGTTTAAGAAAAAAAAAACTAAAATGGTTTTTCAATACTACTTCAAAATGAAATTATTTTGACCAGATCTATCGATGGTTAAAGTCCTAATCCTAAAAAGTGAATCACCCTGTATATGTATGAACAGTAAAACAAAAACAACAAAAAATATTGTTCATGCTGACACTAATATAGATAGTTTAGGATAGGAATTTTGGCTCAACGTTTAAATTAATTTTAGAATTTATAAATTAACTTTGAAATAGTCACAAACATATGTAATTTAAAATAATGTATTACCTATTTGTATTATCCTGAAGATGTCACAAGAAAGGTGACGAAACCTCGACAAAGAAAAAACACTTCTGTAACTCTATTTGTTTTTCATATATCCATGTCAAGAATTTTAAGGTGATTTTCAACTGTTAATATCTCGAAAATACTTGAAAATATCAAATAACTCTAAATAGAAAAATATTTTACAACTAAATGTTCTTTCTAGAGGCGTTAAGATATACTTAAAAATGTTTGTGAATAAAATAAAATTACCAGAACCACGGGAAACATATAGTTTTTATCATTTAATTATATTATCTACGGCCTAAGATAAGTGAAAATATATTGATCGCCCAGTACAGGTATCGAAATTAGCTTAACCAACTTCTTTCTCATTTAACGAAACAAGAAAGAAGTTCATATTACTAACATTTTTAAAATAAAAAACATCCAGTACATAAAAGGCTGCAAAATTGATATCGGTAGGAAACGATCTAGCTACTCTTGAATCAGCTAAGCCAATGCATTTAAATCATGTATTATCTATGTACCTACGTTAAGGAAGCGATGCGTTTGCAATGAAACAAAAAAATAAAGCGGTTCTGAAATTTGATGAGATGATTTCATGACTACTTACATAAAACTCAGTTATGTACGAATGGTCAGTGGTGTGCACGGATCATTGTCGTTTCCCATTTTCAATAAATAATGTCACGCCACTGCCTAAAATAAAAATAATTATATGACACACATACATCAAACAAAATCACTTCATTTGAGTCTAAAGAACTAATTTGTCTATTGATAAAATCGTAAATATCATAGTCAACCTATAAAAAGAAAAGAAATAAATAAATAGAAATACACAAGTAATAATAAAAAAATGTTCATATAAAAAAACTCAAACTACCCATTGAATAGATTTGATAAAAAAATTGAAAAATATCAGTACTTGTAAATCTTGAGCAGTGTATTCAAAATAATAAAATTCAGCATCTTAGAATATCATAGAAGTATACAGGGTGTTCCACCTATGAGGGATTCTTCTGTAACTGTAGAATTGATTAAAAAAATGGTTTTAATAAAAGTTGTACTTAAACAGTAGATAAGACTTGTTCTAGAAATGTTCAGGGTATAAATAAAATTTAAAATATTGGAAATACAGTTATTATGGTCGCTGCCAGTTACAGTTACTTTACTTCTTTAGCCTCAGCTAGGAATTTTTGACCTGTCGTTGTTGTTCTCAGGCTAAGCTCTATGAGGGAGAACCAGAGATCCTCAATCGCGGCGAAATATTTGCAGAGTCACCACTGGAGATGCAGACAGTGAACAACGGCGAAAAGTTTGCAAGCACTGGATGCGAATAGTTGCAGAAGCCACTACAGAACATTACTATTACCTGAGTAGCGGTTCCATCCGTAGTTGCCTAACACCCAATAAGAACCAAAACGAAAATCAGTTCGGACCTAGAGGTTCTAATAGATGGTCCGCCCCCACAGAGCCTAGGCCGAGAACAACAAGGCATAATAACCCGATTAAACAATAGCACGGACCGTGAAAGCCTTAAAACCACTAAAATAAAAAGAGTTTTAATACTTTTTCCACTGGATATTGGTTTATTTGCAGGTGCTCAAATAATCATGGTAACTCAACTAAACAGAGAAGAGTCTGAAATATATCCACAAACAAATATTTGTTAGAAAATTTCATTAATCTGCCAAATTTGACATTTCAACAATTAATTAAGGTTTGGTTTACAAAGTCAACCCTTTAATTAATCCTTTCTCTTATTTATTTAAAATTGTCTTTATTTTTTTCTTAAAATTAATAAGACTGCTTAAGTATTATTAAATTGTAGGCAGTTTTTTATAAAACCTACGTGGGATGAAAATTACCTTTAGACAAATCTAAACTCATCCAAGTTTAACGGCATCGGACTGAGGAATTTTATTTTAAGGGGGGTAGGTACATAGCCACCAATATTACCTACTTTTAAATGTTTATTTTCATTGAACTGAACACTGAAAATATAGAAGGGCCTAATTAAATACCTATTAAAAAACATAAATTACTTAAATAAACACACTTAAAAAATATCTTCAATCAAGAATACATTAGTTTAAGTCAAGAAGTTTTGCATAGTTTATTGTATAATTTTAATATGCTTTCTTAATATAACTCTTTTTTCTGTTTACAAAATATAGTATTAGGAACAGTCCACAAATAATTTTATTAAACTTTGACTTAAATTTTACTGTGAAATCTTATCTAATTAATTTAATGAAGATATATTTATAAAAAATCTCCAAAAACTGAAAACAATTTTTCAGAGAAATGTTTGTGTAAAAATGAAGCTCTTTCTAAGAATGATTAATGGCATTTAACGAAACATTAATTAGGACCACTTCCAACACAAAAAACAGTTAAAATATCCGAGGAACCGTGAAAACGGGCCCACCATTAATCACAGCCCCATTTAACGGTTCTAATGCAGTGCTATACCAAGCGTTAACTGCTCACGTTAAAACACTGGTTATTCCACCTTTACACACCGCGAGCTCCAGATAGCTACCTGTTTTACGGACACCCCACCGGGTTGCTACTGGTTACATAAGATCGGGTGGGGGCAATGTAAGTACCATTGGATACCAATCTGAAAACAATCGCGGTGCTACTGGGTACCGTGGCACCAATTAAATGCACTGCGTGCTGAAAAGTACCATGCGTGGTACCTCGCGGCGGTTTTCTTCCAATGTGGAAATGTGCTATTAAAATTAATTCTTATAATCTAGATCGCGCTGGCGTCCAATGGTAGCCGGATGGTGCAGTGAGGTATGGTGGATTCTCGGTGTATTTGCATTTTGTCTGCACCATGGATTGTCGGTATTTTCATCAGATACCTATACTGAGATTTTTAAGTAACGTTAAATATTGAAATATAATGTTTTTAAATACACGAATTTTCAATCAAACGTTGCAAAAACGTTAAGCTCACTTGTTGGATTAACTTATAAAAAACGTTAAGCATATAGGTGACATAAACGTCATGAAAACAGGGAAAATTGAACGAAATAAAATTGTTGCAGTAAAGGTAAGTGGGGAAACGTTAAACAGATTTAATTAACTTCACGTGCAAATATGAGTAACGGAAAACGTTATTTGCATAGGTTGCGTAAACGTTAAGATTAGACATTATAAAAACAAGGATATTTAGATTAAAAATAATTTTAATTAATCTTGTGATTGTGTGTGATACGAGTAAGAAACGTTTTTTGTATGGAGAGGAGTAAACGTTAAAATGATCCTACGAAATAAACGTACAAAGTTATTGATAAGAATATAAATAAATCTTTCAATATAATTTATAATCAGAACGTCATTAAAGTCATATAGCTCTATAATTTTGAGTAAGTATAATAAATCGTTTTAAATGGAAATGGATGACAGTTATATTGATTTTTTGTTAACATAACGTACTCCTATATCGACTCCTGACATATATCGCTCACTTTTCAAACAGACGTCGAACTGCCTTTCGTAGTAGGCACTTGTTATCTCAGTCAGTCGTATTATTAACAGTATTAAGCAAACTTTCTCTATCACTTTGAACAAACCATTTTCTCTAGGTATAGAGATATAGGTATTTAGCATATCATTTGCATACGTTCATCTAGTGGTTGCATATCATCCAACACATAATTTTAAGCAACATTAAAAAATTTTGTATTTTGGCAAAAAGAATACCTTCAAATAGCAACAACTATGGCTAAATATTGCATTTTTACATGAATAAGTGATTTTTATCTCTTCTATTTTTATAATATTATTCACATACCAATTTGTGTAGCTAAAATATTACAATTTTTTTTTAAATAACCTTTTGTACATGATCTCAGATTTAGTTAGTATTAACATCAGGAAAATTTAATGCGAAAGTACAAATATGTGAACAAGTTTCAGCTGTTCTGACGAATATACACTGTAAGAAAAGTTGGACTTATTTTCAATCAATTTCACTCAATGTATCAATTTCTGTCCTCTCGATTGAGTGAAATTTTCCTCTATCAGTATGAGTAAGTACAATTAAAATGTAAAATGAGTAAGTACAATTTATGAGTGAAACTATAGTTTTAGTTCAAATATTATCAAACACGTGTAAAATTATCAAAATGTTCAATACTGGCTGAAAATATACTCAATAATTTCATTCAGCTTTCACTCAGACCAATTTACTTGCAGTTTATAGAGACAGTGTCAATATTATACAAAAATTAATTTAAATTCACGTAGAAATTGACAAGTTGTTCCTTGGTGTAGTTTTGAAAAAATAATATAAATAAACCATGCATTCACTATCAACTTTTATCAAAACCGAAATAGAAATTAATAAATTTTGTTACTTTTCTAAAACTTTACTAAAATTATTGAAATTAGAACTTACTAATTATTTTCATCTTATATTATTTTGACGTTTGGACGTTTCTACAAATAAATCGTTTTATATTTTAAATAAATCATCAATACCTACAGATTTAAAAGAAAACTTATTTTAGACCCTTTTAAAAATCCAAGAATATTTTAACAAAAACGTTGTTGACGTTTATATCTAAAGAGAATAATTCGCTATGGACTTTAAATATACAGATTATCTCTCTTTGTTGTCAGTAGGTATTGTTTGCCTTATTGTTACTAAAAATCAGTCATTGACAGTTTAATAGAATAGCAATATTTACTCTCACGTTAAAAACCAATCCAGGCAAATCAAAAAAGTAGTAGATATACTTTAAGCAAACGACGAAAAATATGTTTCAGTTAAAACACTTTATACAACTTAAACTAAGTTGTCAGAAATGATACGTTGCTAAATGCAGTAAAACGAACTACTAATATGAAAGAGCTAATAAAAAATTTTAAATGACAAGTTACTGAAATATAAACTAATATTTTTACGAAGTCTGTTCAGAAAGTAACCGAACTTTTTGAATTACACGCTAATGGAGATAATGATATGCAGTTGGCAGCATTGCATTGCACATAACCTCCTCTATAACCGCATGTTCTTAAGTTGTTGATACCTCATTTAGTTTTCGTGATATTGTAATTTGAGTGTAACGTGTTTAGTAACGATTTTTGAAATGTGCGATTTTCTGGAACAACGCAAAATTTTGCGTGAATCTGGGGAAAACTTTCACGGAAACGTTTCAACTTTTGAAACAATCTTGGGTCGTACGCAATGTTACGAATTATTTTCACGATTTAAAAATTGTCGCCAGTCAATTGAACTACACGTTCAAAAAGTCAAATATCTAGTGTGTGCACATCGTCGATTGACCGTCAAAGAAATTGCGGAAGAGGTTAGCATCTCAACTGGGTCACGCCATAAAATTTTTAATGAAAAATTGAACATGCATTGAGTTGCAGCAACATTTGTTCCTCGTTTGATGACCGAACAATAGAATGAAATTTGCGTGGACGTTGTCGGTAACTCCTTGAACAATCCAACGACGATGAAACATTCATTTAAAGAATCACAACGGGAGACAAAAGCTGGATTTACGGCTATGACATTGAGACAAAAGTTCAACCATTACAATGGATTGGCAAAGGATCTCCACGCCCCAAGAAAGCAAGTCAGTCTCCATCCAATGTCAAAGTAATGCTCACTGTTTATTTTCGACTTGGAATGGAATTGTGCATGTTGAATTCTTGTCCCAAACAGTGAA